AACTTGGATACGGAGATGAAGAGAACTTAATTAATGAAGTGATCAAGGCACACCCACAAACACACACACTCACACACATTACACACACACACACACACACACACACACACACACACACATATATATATATATATATAGTTTAATGTTTGTTATATATATATGGGATATAGTTTATGTTCTTATAAGCAGTATGGACACAGTGTTCAACACCGAATGGCGACATTCCGCAACATATAGAAACGCTATCTTAAGAATTTTACCAGTATATGTATGAAAAACCGGAAGTCAAAATAGTTACAATTGAAAGAAAAGAAAAAAAATTAAAAAGAAACCAATAAGAATTGAGTGTAAAGTGAAGAAAAGGACAATGCACGGCGCACATACTCTAAAGAAGAAAAAAAAACTAATTACATTGGAAAGTGCATTTATAAACCAAAAGTAGGGAAGGATAAACAGTCAATTACTGATAGGGTCTGGGTGATTCCCGGAGTGCCGTCTGCAAAACACACACACACATATATATATATATATATATATATTTGGTTGGATTGATGTGAGTTTGTGACCCTGGGTTTCACGCTTTTGCGATCGTCAGAAAAATAATAAGTACCGCGCATATAATATATATATATATATATATATATACATTTTTCATTTTCACACACATATATATATATATATATATATATATATATATATATATATATATATATATATAAAGTATTAAATGATTTATATTTAATCTGACATTTTGTAACTTCAAAATTATTTTAATGGATACTCGTATTTGAAATAGACACACCATATTTTTTTTTTTACTTTAAACAGTGAATCTATCGGCAAGGTTATTCAAGAAATAATAAAAAAATTTAGTCTAAGGCATTGATCGAACTTGCGTCCCCGTTTATAGGAGAAACCGTTTGATCCGGCATGAATCTCTTGCAACTCTTCTGGATGGTCTCCTTGTTAAAGTTGGTGAATCCTTGCCTTCAGTTCATCTTTGGTGTTACAAGGAGTTTTGTTGGAGTCTAGCTCAACTGCGCTCTACGCATAATGAATAAGGGAGTCTCAGTCTGAAGAGTTAAAGTGGCTAGATGTAAAAGGTGATGTGGTCGCTGAAATTGTCTGATAGCCATGACTGGGTTCACTTGCTTGGGTGGTATGATGCAGAGTCCTGTTACAAGACATAGAGTCTTGTAGCAGACACCCACTTGACCAAGGGCAGCACTACTTCCTCAAGGCACTTGATGTAGGCCTCTGTATTGAGGCTGAGGCCCTTGCCAACAAATTCAGGAGTTCTTTTCTTATCAAAACGAACAGAGTGGATTTTTTGAGCTGCCGTCCCTTCGTAATCACCATTGGATTCATCTGTTTCTGAATCCTCTGCACTCTCCTCGAATTGACGCCCCAAAACTCTTAAATGTTCGCATTGGAACTTCTGGAGCGAATGCTAAGCAGTGCCGCATGCCGTTTTCAAATTTTTGGCCGAGTGAATTACGTCACGATGCTCTTTTTCTCATAAACGGTGTCCAACGGACCCTACTATAATGTGCAGTAGGAAAAATCAAAACCAAACAATGTTCATGCGCCAAATGAAAAATATAAAATGGTGACAATTGACTCATCACACCCTGTATACTTTTATTTATGTCACGATTACTTAAATATATGCTCTTACGAAGGTCCTACACTAGTTGTTTTCCTTGCTATCCACAATAGGTTAACGCGAAAAAGCAATTCGAATTGTCTGCTTGTCCCAAAATCAAAGGTAGAATTTCGTCGTGTGCTGTCGCTCCCGGGGAAATCTTGAACCACCACACACACCCCGATTGTTTAAGGCCTGAAAACAATCTAGAAACCTGCCCTGACATTAAACTCTGCAGTAGTGAGTCTGTTTAATTACAATCTTCAAAATTGTTGAGGGGTCCTCCCTTTTTTACACAAATGCACTCACCCAGTATATACATATATACTGCTACGTTAAGACCAGAGCGACGAGAGCAACAAAGGGTGAAGGCGACAGACAGAACGAACGTAGCCAGCCAGAGTCACAGCGAGCGAGCACGTAGACTCAGTAAGAAGTCATACAGCGATACTTCAATACCAAAGACTATATATATATTTTGCTACTAACCCGTATTCCTGGAACTACTAACCTGCATTACCAGTTTGTATTATTACGTTAATACATTATTTTCCTATATTCATTTTTGGCGTTTGTTATTTATTGGTACAGGATATCATCCCAGAATCCACAACAAAAAATGAACTGAAAATATATTAATGCATATTTTATTAGTTCCTTAAAATGACGTGAGAAAATTCATTGACAAAGAGCATGTAAAAAATTTGGTAGGCGACACGACCAGAGCGAAGAAAATACCCAGACATAGATCAATTATATTCTGATATATGGTGAGTCAGTGTGAACACTGGCCACGCTACTTAGAGAAAGGTTACGTAAAATATTGCACTTCGAACGGGCGATGATAATGTGTGTCAGACGCATTTGTAGAGTTTTGATATACTTTAATCGACGTATGTATCGGTGTAGCTAATGGAAGATATTAATGCCTTTGGTGAAGAGAACAATTACTGACTACGGATTCTGAATGACTGTGACTACTGTGTTTCGCTATAATTGACGGCAGTAACAGACAATCGGCACTGGCTCAAATCTCATATGTATTCAATGAAAGAGACAAATATACAACAGGTGGACTCAGTAATCTTTAACTTCTTTGAGATCTGAGAGTAGCATGCCACTATTAACAACACGAAACAACTCATCCTGTTGCCTTATGATGTCGTTTATTGAACATTGGATGACTGGCAACCTGTGGCCTGGTCCGATGGGCCATAGATGTCGTCAATCTGGTTTTAATGTAAGACCTAGCTGTGATGCTATGAACCTCAGTTGTCCACAAATGGCTATGCTTACGTGGCATATGTTGAGATTGTTGTTCCGTCATTTACCGGTGACGGGTAGGTTGCGTTGCCAAGTCACCATTTGCCTCCATGAATAAACTATATATACACCAACAACAATATTTATGCAGGATAACGCCCTGTGTTGTCGGGTCTAAATCATCTAGAAGTGGATAAAGGAACAATCTGGAATCTTTGGACAAATGCTGTGGCATAAATGTCTGGTGCTTGCGATGGAAAGTTCTATCCACAAGCAAAGCTTTCCCATGAAAAGTATCGGAGAACTGTCAACAGCTATCAAGGCGCCATGACTTAATGTTTCTCTAAATATTTTCCCATCGTTTATAAAATCGATGGCAAGCTAGAGGGTGTTATGCACAATAGTAAACACAAGGCCAATAACATTTTACTGTACATTGCCTATGCACGAACGCGTCCTTAAAATATATGTGATCGTTAATATCATATTCCCTAAGTTTTTATAAGTTCAGACACATAATACCTAGCCACTATTTCTTAAAGCCAATAACCTTGTCTGGCAATAAAAGAAAATGCAATGTTTGTCTATACCTCTGGGATGAGGTATTATAATTATTTCCATTATTTAGACTGTTATCCACATCTTCATTGCCATATTCACAACTTTTCAGTTGTACGCTTCGGCCTTCTTCAGGGGATTGGAATTTCGAACCGAACCGTTTATTTCGTCCAGCGGGGGTAGATTGTTCTAGTTCCACGTGCCATGCCTTTTCCGAATATCTCAGATATTTCCCTTTAACTCAAATCTCCATCTTTTTGATTCACCACTACTTTGGCCTGGTATTGAACTCACAACTCTTTGGGTCTAGTCATTGGATCTAACTAACGTCTTTATCTACAGTGGGTGTTCCGAAGGGGTTCGGTTCAAAATTCCAATCACCCGAAGAAGACCGAAGCGTACAAGGGCCGAAACTTTGTGAATATGGCAGTGAAGATGAGGATAACAGTCCGAATAATATAAATAATGCAAGAAAAAAGAAATACTACACGAGATTAACTCTCTCGTATCTCCTAATTTACTGTTCAATCCTCTTCTGATTATTTAATAAATTGCTTTTTCATGAATATCTTATGTCGTTTACCTTCTCAGTCCTTTTTTTTCCCCGATGCAGCCAGTGAATGTTAATCACCGTACATTATACTCATTATCATTTTCATAAATTATTTTGACGGCTAAGTTGAGATTTCCATACATAATCGATGGGAGGAAAGATCGGAATCTTTCACCGAAGTTTACTTCTCTTATTTTCACACTCTGTATTCTATTCTATAATAACCGTTTCTCCTTTCATATCCACAAACAAGAAACAGGAAGATGATCTTTCTCACCTTTTATGAATGATAAGCTAAAATGACTTCTCTTCATCACCGGTCGACACCGTCAACAGAGCCAAAGTAACTTAGCACTAATTCATCAAATTTGACCAGATCGATTTTGCCAGACAGGCCGGCAAATATCTTTTTGGATAGTACCGCTATAAAAAAAAAAAGAAAAGAAAAAAGGCCACTGACAAGTAAACTGGACAGGAGTCGGAATTGCGGTCATTATGTAAACTGAAGGTGGCTGTGATTTTCATTATATATTAGGGGTTTCATTTCGATATTTCTTTAGGTCGGTCAAATCGTTTCCGAGTGAATCTAAAGCAATCGATTTTATTGATATTGGGTATCGATTTCAGAGCTCACTTATCGGTAAACAGAAAACGAGGTTTAAGTATCGATGCGAAAAAGAATTTGGTGAAAGAGGAGAAAAGAGAAATAACGGGAAAGAAAGAAAGAAAGAAAGAAAGAAATAAAGAAAGAAAGAAAGAAAGAAAGAAAGAAAGAATCGATAACAAAAGGCATTTGGTGAAGGTGGAGAAAAAGAGATAATGGAAAAGAAAGAAAGAAAGGAAAAAGAAAGAAAGAAAGAAAGAAAGAAAGAAAGAAAGGAAAAAAGAAAGGAAGAAACAAACAAACAAAGGAAAAAAGGAAGAATCGATAAGAAAAGGCATTTCGTGAAGATGGAGAAAAAGAAAGAAAGAAAGAAAGAATCAATAACAAAAGGCATTTGGTGAAGGTGGAGAAAAAGAGATAAAGGAAAAGAAAGAAAGAAAGAAAGAAACAAACAAACAAACAAACAAAGGAAAAAAAAGGAAGAATCGATAAGAAAAGGCATTTCGTGAAGATGGAGAAAAAAAGATAATGGAAAAGAAAGAAATAAAGAAAGAAAGAAAGAAAGAATCGATAACAAAAGGCATTTGATGAAGGTGGAGAAAAAGAGATGATGGAAAAGAAAGAAATAAAGAAAGAATCACAATCGAAAGAAATAAAGGGAAGGAAAAATCAGTTTGAAAATTGAATGTAGCAAACAATGGACCGAGAAAGAGAAAGAACGAAATCACTACGAGAAGTGAATGACGGAAATAAAAAGAAAGAAAGAAAGAAGGATGTTTAATATTTTGAGAAAGAAAAGAATAAGAGGGAAAAGGCAAATGTGGCAAATAAAAGAAAGAAAAAAAGAATAAATCTATGAAAAATATAAAAGAATTAAATGGGGAAAAATTAAAGACGGCTATGAAACAAAGAGAAAAGAGTTGAAGGTGAAAACAAAGTTTAATCAATCGATCTGCCTGTCAATATGTTAATGAAGGATATTCTCAAATCTCTGAAAAAATAAAGATAAGAAACGGACGTTTTCAAAGAGAAACGTAAGTTTACTCAACCTTACTATCAAATACATATATATATATATATATATATATATATATATATATATATATATATATATATATATATGTACAGTAACGAGCAAAAAGATCAGAACGATGTTAAGAAAAAGTCTAAATATTAAATAATTTTATATTTTAAAGCTTCAAAGAACATTTTACCAAGGAAAATAAGGATATAAATGTAAATTATATATTTCCAATATATATATATATTTATTTTGATAAAGTTATAAGAATAATTATATAACATTCGAAAAAAAAATGATCAAAAACATCAGAACGATTAAATAAATCCATAAAATTTAATATATTATTTTGCATTATTGAAAATTTTTTAGGGTAAGAATATAAAATCGGGTATTTTGCTAAATTACACCGGCTTTTGCATTGTAAACATGGCGAAAAAATCTGTGAAACTTGAGGAAAATGGGTCTTGTGAAGCCAAGAAACCACCTGGCTGGCCTAGGGAAACTACTGCAAGGAAAGCCAGATTGATTGGTATTGAATCCAAAAAGGAACGATTTGCAACAGCAACCGCTATCTCTAAAAGAGCTAATGCTAACCTTGGCATTAAAATATCAAGGCACACTATTTCCTGTAAACTTAAAACAGTCGAGTAGCGTCTACAGAGCCTTACATTTCTAATATACAGCCATGGCAAGAATTATGGAGCACCTATAAAAATTTGGGATAATAGTTTAAACCTACGTATTTCAAGGTTAAGAATCGTACAGTGAACAATTGAGAGCAAATGTAAAATAGTTAACAGTAGATTGTAGTATTTATTTTATTTTTTTTTTTGCTTTAAAGCCTCTCTCAAGAGCTTTAGCTGAGTTTCGTTCTAAATTCATTCCAATATTCAAAATGATTTATTGTCATACTAAAGGTTGTTTCGAAATTTTCGGGTAATATTTGATTCCTACCAGTGTATATCTAATTAAAAAGAAGCAGCTTTCCGAGATTAAAAGGGCACAAATTGTTGCTTTATCTGGTGAAGGATATTCTCAGGTAGAAATTGCCAGGAAGCTGGAATGTTCAAGGAAGGGGGTTCAAACAACGATTAAAAGGTACAAGGAAACAAAGTCTTTCAAAAAACAAAAAAGGACAAGGCAACAAAAAAAAGTCTACAACCGCCAGGGAAGACAGATCTTTAAAAGAGCATCCCTTGCAGATAGGAGGAAAAGTTCTTCAGAGCTTGCTGCTGAACTTAGGGAGGATGCAAACAAAAACATATCAGCTCGAACAGTGAGAAGAAGGTTATTAGAAGTGGGATTAAAAGGATGCAAAGCCAGGAAGAAGCCATACTTGTCTCAGGCCAACAAGAAAAAACGACTGGAATTTGCAAAAAAAACCATGAAAATTGGACACCTGATGATTGGGGCAAAATTGTTTGGTCTGACGTTGAGGTAAGTTAACAGCTTCTATTTCCTAAACTTTGGGTGTAATAATTGAAATTTTTATGTGAATACACATCCATAACATTTATTCAAAAATTGTAACAAATTCTTTTTTTTTTCATCAGATTTTTGGCACCTCTGGAGCGGTTTATGTTCGCCGTAGGGAAGGAAAGGTATTTCATCCTGATTGTGTGGTTCCAACTGTAAAATTTGGAGGAGGAAGCGTAATGGTTTGGGGCTGCATGGCTTTTTCAGGCACTGGAATGTTGTACACATGTGAGGGCAGAATGCACTCCACAATTTATACTAACATGCTGGACTAGGTTTACAGAATCTCTTTGACTAAAATATTTAATAATAACATTCCAAGTGATGTAATCTTCCAATAAGACAATACTCCATGCCATACTTCAAAAGTTTCAATCGGTTGGTTTGAGAAAAAAAGGGATTACAGTGATGAAGTGCCCCCCGCCTCAATCCCCAGACCTAAATCCCATTGAAACTTTGTGGTCCCATTTAGGGAAAAGAGTGAGAATGCACAAATGTTCCTCAAAAAAAGAATTAGAGGCCAAACTTCATGAAGATTGGCAGAAAATAGATCCTACCGCCTGCAACAACTTAGTCAATAATATGCAAAAACGAATAAAAGCTGTTCTAAAGGCAAAAGGAGGACATACCAAATATTGATTGTTGTTATTAATGTTTACTCTACTATTCTTAACCTTTAAATATATAAGTTTGAATCATAATTTCGATTTTTCATTGGTGCTCCATAATTTTGGCCAAGGCTGTATATGCGTATTGCTTGAGTAACCCGCGCCTTGTGTTGAGTAATTCGAGCGCATTTGTTAAGGTGATTTCATTTACAAACATTATTTCTCTGTATGTACTTATCATTATATCTCCATCTGTATATATATGTATATGTGTGTATATGTGTTTGTGTGTCTGTATGTGTGTGTATAAAACTGAGTGTATGATGTGTGCAAATTCGTGTGTGTTCGCAAATATTCGTATATATATTTTCTCTAGCTTCGAAATGAAAAAATCATGGAAGGCTTATATTTAATTTCGTCATTCATCTATGTATTTATAATATATACATACAAACACACGCACAACCGCTAACATGTAGTATACACACACACAGACAAACGCACATACACACACACATATATATATATATATATATATATATATATATATATATATATATATATATATAACCGCAGTATGTGTCAGGACATATTCCAACTTAGGTTTTCTTGGGAGACAGACCAGATGAATCGTTTGTTTCCGAGCAATAACTAATCAGTGTTCATGTTATACTGTCAGCGAAACATTAGGAAAAAGAATATGGAGCACCGGATTACCATCTTGCTTTGTGTAAAGTTCGGTAAAAGTGCTAATGAAACGATATCTCAATTTAAATGGCGTCTGGTGAATATGCTATGAAGAAAACATTTATAGGAAGGGCAAGAAGATCTACACAACAATGTAAGAAAAGATTACAGTTCAGGTAGAAATTAAATTTTAGGCTTTATGAAGCAATGGAAATATATAGGCGACATGAATAGCAAATTAACAAGTGTCATTTAGCAGAAATATTATAGGAAATATTGAAAACAAATATAAACGCAAATAGTTGAATGAATCACACAAGCGAAAGATGAGAATTGCAGCAACGAGGGGAATGCAATCTTATATAATAAGAATTTAAAACTGGAAAGAAGATGAGTTTGGAAAGTGTACAAGAATGAACTAGAAATGGGGAAAGTTTGAGACATGGGGTCTATCCACAGCCGCAGACAGTAAACTTTGAACGAAAAGGAAAACATTCACAACTAGCCTTTGGGTGTTCCTCAATCTGATGCAGTGAGTTTACCGTGCAATTCTACATCATCTGCCTCACAATGTCTCTAGCTGGAATTATCACTGCACGTATCTCCCATTGAACATAAATGGACATGTGGAGGCAAAATGTCTCATTCAAAAAATTCTTACCTTAATTCCTCAAAAGGTGCAACAGACTCGGAATTTTACTCGCCATCTGTACGATCGCATAACCACGAGAGCACTGGCCTCGTTAAGTTTCTATTGGATATTAATATATATCTGTCTATATTTCTGAGATGAGGTATTATGTGCACTATTTACATTATTCGGACTATTGTCCTCATCTTTGTCGCCATATTTATTACAACGATTCGGCCCTTTAGTATCTGTCGATATTTCTGAGATGAGGTATTATGTACAATATTTACATCATTCGAACTATTGTCCTCATCTTTGTCGCCATATTTATTACAACGTTTCGGCCGTTCAGTATCTGTCTACATTTCTGAGATGAGGTATTATGTACACTATTTACATTATTTGGACTATTGTCCTCATCTTTGTCACCATATTTATTACAACGTTTCGGCCTTTCAGTATCTATCTATATTTCTGAGATGAGGTATTATGTACATTATTTACATGATTCAAACAATTATCCTCAACTTTGTCGCCATATTTATTAATAATTTCTCTGTCTATTTCCCTTAGCCTCTCTCACACTAATCCCTCTCCCTGCACACTTTCCCGCTGTTTCTGTTTCCTTTGGCCTCTATTCTCTTACTTTTCTCTCCCTTTTATTCTCTGTCTCTATTTCGCTTGACATCTCTCTTACTTTTCTCGTCCCTTCTTTCTCAGTCTCTGTCCCTTGGCCCCTCTCACTGGATACTCACTTCCTTCCTTCTCTTTCTCTCTCTCTCTCTCTCTCTCTCTCTCTCTGTGTGTCTCTATTTCCCTTAGCCTCTCTCTCACTATTCCTTCTCCTTTCTCTCTTTCCAATGAAATAGAGCGAAAGAAGGGAGTGTAAAATGTAAGAGAGGGGTTAAGAGAAATAGAGAAAGAAGAAAGCGGGAAAAGTGAGAGAATATAGGCCAAGGGAAATAGAGACTGCTAGAAAGAGAGTAGGGAGAAGGAATAGTGAGAGAGAGGTTAAGGGAAATAGAGACATAGAGAGAAAAGGAAGTGAGTATCCAGAGAGAGGGGCCAAGGGCCTTTGACAGAGAAAGAAGGGAAATGTAAGAGAGATGTCAAGGGAAATAGAGACAGAGAAAAAAAGGGAGCGAGAGAAGAGAGACCAAGGGAAACAGAGACAGCGGGAAAGTATTCAGGGAGAGGGATTAGTGTGAGAGAAGCTAAGGGAAATAGAGAGAGAAGAGAGAGGGTAAATGAGAGTTGAGTCAAGTGAAATAGAGGGAGAGAGACAGAGTGAGAGAATGGAGAGGAAAGCGAGAGCTGGGCCATCGAAAATAGAGAGAAATAGAGACAGAAGGAAAAGTGAATGACGGGATAAGTGAATTAGAGAGAGAAAGAGATAGAATGAGAGAATTAAGAAAGAAAAGTGATGGGCTAGAGTGAATAGAAACAGAGAGAAAGAGAAGAGATTGGGAAAGACAGAAGCAAATATATGAGTAAACATAAAGTCGACATTTTTTTTTCTTCTGATATTTTTTCCTTTCTTACAAAATGAGTGTATGAAATTTTCAAAAAAATAAAGTGAATTTTTGTATGATTGTGGTTGTTTTGCATCCTCTTCAATTGCTGCAAATTGAGGCCATCAGATCGAGTAAAACAAAAGATATTGGCCCCGACCGATGTGCCACTTATTTAATTTCGCCTTTCATCAAAAAGAGAAAATTATCAATCATTGATAGACGAATGAATTCGAGTCATTTTTTTTTTGTTTAGTATTACTAAACTCGCTCTTTCCACCAATTACTCTCCACACGGTTTGCTCACAATTTCCATATCATCCATAGTAGCAATCTTTGCGGTTTCCTCTTTCTCAATCTCGATATACATTTTATTACAGTTTTATTTTAAATCGTGATATTTCAATCTATTCTGACATACCAAAGCACATAAATCTGTCTGTGTGTCTATTTCGCAAAATGTAGTAATATCCCGATAACTGTGAACAAACAACCACAATCACTTTAACAACTTCATCTTTTTCACGACTTACGCTTGTTATTGAGACGAAAATAAACATCGTGGCAAAAGAGTTTTCACTTATTTAGCATTAAATCTTTCTGGCTACTTTCGAAAAAGCAGAAACAAATTTCACGGCTGTCTCTGCTGCAGTAGTTCTTAAGATAATTTCTTCAATGGCGAATTCCATACTCATTCACTCACTCATTTACCATCTATCTCTCTCTATATCTATCTATCTATCAAATATCTGTTCATATCTATCTATCACAGTCTGTTGATATCCATCTATCTATCAGTCTGTTGATATCCATCTATCTATCACAGGTCTGTTAATATCTATCTATCTATCTATCTATATATATATATATATATATATATATATATATATATATATATATATATATATATATATATATATCACAGTCTGTTCATATCTATCTCAGTCTGTTCATATATATCTATTTATCATGGTCTGTTTATATCTCTGTTCATATCTATCTATCTATCTATCTATCTATCTATCTATCTATCAGTCTGTTTATATCTATCTGAGTCTGTTCATACCTATCTATCTATTTATCTATCTATCTATCTATCATAGTCTGTTGATATACAAATATCTATCAAAGGTCTGTTAATATCTACCTTTCTATCTATATATCAATCACAGTCTGTTTATATTTATCTCAGTCTGTTCATATCTATCTATCTATCTATCACAGTCTGTTTATATCTATCTATATCGTTCTATTCATATCTATTTATCTATCTATCAATCAAGCTTTCTTTTCTTACTCACTTCAGGAGTCACTGAGAAAAGAAAACCTAGATATTAGAGAGGACATTAAAAGATTGGGATTCAAGTAAACAGATGACAATAGGAAAGCAAGAAGCCAGAAGAAATTTCAACAAGCGAGAAGAGCGAGAGAAGAAATAATTTATGCATACAATTTCAACAGAAACATGACGAGACCTAACTGCAAACCAAGTGCTGCGTTTAAATTAGTGAAGATGATATAGCAAAGAATAAAGCCCATCAGACATTTACCATGAACTGTACAGGGAAGCTTCGTCACAGTTGCTGGAAGGTGACTAAGGCCGAAATGCGAGGTCAGGACCGATGACATTGTAGATTCGTCTTTGGATTGTGTCAAGAATACAATACGAACTGCAATGTACACATCACTATCTGCTAGGATTATTCATATCTCCATTATAAATTGATTTGGGCACATATTTCTGTTTCTGTAGCCTCTATTTAACCTCTCTCACTTTTCCCTTTCCAATCTCTCTTTCCCTCTGTCTCTATTTCCTTTGGCCTCTATCGTCACCCTTTTCCCTTTTCCTATCTCACTTTCCCTCTGTCTCTCTTTCCTTTGGCCTCTATCTTCACCCTTTTCCCTTTTCATATCTCTCTTTCCCTCTGTCTCTCTTTCCTTTGGCCTCTATCATCACCCTTTTCCTATCTCACTTTCCGCCTGTCTCTCTTTCCTTTCGCCTCTATCTTCACCCTTTTCCCTTTTCCTATCTCTCTTTCCCTCTGTCTCTCTTTCCTTTGGCCTCTATCGTCACCCTTTTCCCTCTCTCAGTTTTCCCTTTTCATGCTCTCTTTCCCAATATCTGTGTTTACCTTGGCCTCTCTTCTCGCTCTTTCCCTTTCTCTTCTTTCCTTGTCTCTATTTTCTTTGGCCACTCTCTCACTTTTAACTCTCCTTTCTCTTTTTGCCTCTCTCTCTCTCTTTCTTCCCTCTCCCTACTCACTCTCTCCTACTCTCTGCCTGTATCCCCTCACTTTAACCTCGACATTCTCTCTTTCCCTCTCTCTTCTGATTCCTTCTCTCTTTTCTCTCTGTCTCTATTTCGCTCTATCACTTTTCCATATTGCTTCTCTCACTCTGTCTCTTTCTCTCTATTTCACTTGGCCCACCTCTCACTTTTCCCTCTACCATCTCTGTCTCTCTCTCTCTCACCCTCTCTCTCTCTCTCTCACCCTCTCTCTATCTATCTCTCTATTCCCCTTGGCCCCTCTTCTCCCTTTCCCTCTCCCTTCTCTCTTTCCTACTCTCTCTCTTTTCCTTAGAAATTTATTAGTATTTAGTATATGTATGCACATATATATATATATATATATATATATATATATATAGTATATTACATGTACATATATGAGCCTGTTAAAAAATATGGAAATATCAATATTAACATAAATTAATATTTTTATATATATATATATATATATATATATATATAGATAGATAGATAGATAGATAGATAGATAGATATAGATATATGTTTATTCGTTGTCATTTGACATTCTTTTAAGCAGATTTCGTTAAATATAATATTTTGTTAAAATTTTATGTGTTCCTAAATTATAATTGTTTCTGTTAAACAGAATTGTTTTCACTTAATATGAATAGCATCTAAAATCTATAATCTTTTATACAGTTTATTTTATTAAGTATCATTATGTTAACAACATGTTTCTATCATATTGTAACTGTTGTGTTTCTTTATCTCGCGTTGTTGCATTCCTCCTTGTTTGGAAATATGACAATATCAATAATAAATAATGAAACTTCATTACATTTAAATCCTCTAAAAATATTTCATTTTTATATATTCACTATTGGCTTCCGTATGTCTTAACATAGTTTTAGAAATCTTACTTAGGCTAATCAATCAAAGGATTTCTTGTACATTCACATCTAATCAAATTACCTTCTGTTCTAATATACTTGGAATCAGTCCTACTACACTATAATCAGTCTTAATATATGAAAATCACTTCTTCACTTACAAAAATTTACTTTGAATTCTAATTGACATAATATACATATTTTATCTATTCTAACTTTAATATCAATTATTTGTTGTTGTTTTCCGCGACATCGAAGTTTCTTGGTAATGACCTTTCTTCAAGGTTTGTTTAAATGATATCTCCAATTTTTTCAATTTATTCCGAGTCTTTTTCAATCTGTTTTGTACACTTGTGCATTCATGAATTTAACGTTCTTTTATACGCGCACTTTCATTAATTTTTGATTTGTTTACGTCTTCGTTTTTTTTCACTTGTAGATTATTCTTCCAGCTGTAAATTCTTCGAAAATAAATTTTTCTTCCAAATTATTTTTTTTCATTTTTTATGGTTTATATTGAAGTTGTTATGTTATATTATTAAATAAATTGTAATATTTGTTAAGTCGTATTATTAATTAAATTATATTTTGTTTGATTTATTATGTTATTTTATTATTATTAATGTAACAAAGTAAATATTTGTTAATGTGACGGCATCGACCCGTTATCTCATTTTCTTATTCAATAATTTAATTTGAATATTAAATGTTAATATTGATATTTTTTCTTCGAAACACAGTTTACAATTCCTATTAGTAATATTGTATTGGGGGGGATACATTTTTTTATAATTTCCCATTAATCTTAGTAGGTATATTATTTTCTTTTTGATTCCATATATACTTTGATAATATTGTTCTATTTGCGTATTTAGAAACTTCGAAGTCGGATTAATAACAACAAAAATTTTATATTAAAGTTAAGTAATCTTTTTATATAACATTTTAATGCTCTATTTTTAATATTATTGAAAAAAAATTTATATTGAGTAATATATATCAAAATATCTGCTATTTCTTAAATCTTAGGAATTTTTTATTTTCTAAACACAGTCGACACAATGTGGCCGTGTTCATGGTTGATATTACTGAGTGTTGCGTTTTTCTTCTTTTATTAATGAAATTGGTCATCATCAACGATTGCAGACCTGCAGTTCGTTTTCGGTCTTCCCGTTCAAAATTTCCGCTACTTAATTTAGCGAACCCCTTGCTAACCATTATCTCAGCCATGGTAGCATCTCCATTGTGCAAATTAACTGAAACAAAACAAATAATTCTGTTATTATTTCCTTTTTTCGTATTTTTCCAAAAAAACATGTCCCAGTGCACATGTTATCACTTTCTATTCCACGAAGTCGTTCCTTGCAGATTGACCACAGATTCTCGAATGTATTTTAATCAGGAGACTTTCCGGGTCAGTCTATAGTACTTGGATTTGCTCTCTAAGGCTTGCCAGTGTGTTCGTGAAGCGTTACAAGTTTTGCGCGCTTCCTTGGGGTAAAGTCCATCGTAGACAATGGCCGTAGAACAACTAATCGACAGTCGAGACAATAGTAATAAAAACCTGATGTAATCATGGATGACGCAATATTTTTCAAAGCCAAACAAATTTCATCATACACCCTGAAAATAGATTCATATTACTACGCACCACAGTAAATAACCCAATCTGAGGAAAATATAGAAATCGATTACACCTTGTCACTCCAGTGGGTCTAAAACTGACTGTAATGTGAAAGAAAAGATACTAAACCGGTTGTTTTAATTAATTTGCAGAAGGGTACATATATATATATATATATATATATATATATATATATATATATATATATATATATATATATATATAGTACAACAAAGTTATTTCGCAGAGAACAACCATATATATGAAATTCGCTTATTATGAAGAAATCGTTCTATTAATAGAAAACGCTATTAAGAAGTCTACTACATAATAGCATAAGGAATAGTTAATTCAATGTGCCTTTCAATTACTCCCCTCTACACATGGCCTTGAGAAGCAGCATAAACTTTAACGACGAAGTCATTAAACAACGTAGCTTACTCGATCTTAATAATAACCTTGAGGGCTTGATGGTAGGGTAAGATGTCTTGTTGGTTGATCAATTGTTTTGTTTTTTACGGCTTATCAACCTTTTGTGGCTTATTTAAAGCCGGAAGATATTTTGGTTTAGAAGAATAACTTTTTTTGATTCCTGAGAGTGAATATTACCTTAACAATTGTCTGAGAATAACAGTGAATTTTAAAAATAAAAGTCTTGCTATTTAACTCAGGACAGAAGGGAGAGGAGGTGGATTCATGCCTTTTCCAAGGGTATTTGCACGTAAGTGAATGTAAATAACCTGACTGAAATTCGAACTGAATTCTCCAATTTCTCACAATCCTTTACACCAACCTCACACCCAAACTCATTAATAATATCAAAATTAATCATTTATTTAGTATGGCTTCCATTATTTTCAGTTGCATTATCAACAACGCCTAGAGAAGCTTAACACCTCTTCTCGTTGGACAGGTTGGCTTACATCTTAATCATAATATTGGGTGGGATGGTTTATTGTTTATCTGTCCCAAAACACAATAGGTAGCAGGTTCAATTTCGGGCTGCAGATCCACCAGATTATACCGGTCGGAAATCGGCAAAGTTAGTTTTACAGAACTTGTATCTTTTCTTGCCTGTGTCGTTGAGAGCCCCGGGGCCTGGATCCACGCATAGTTTCTCTCTGTATAAGCAGATTTTAGCTACGGACAGTTATGATGCCTAATTATTTGTCGAAGTCACCTTTTCTCCAAGCTTATACAAAAATGGACATATTATTTGCGCGCCAAAACTTACGACGCTCAAGTCTGGGCTAGATGTTCGGGTTAAAAGGTGCTCTTGACATACACATTTGACTTGTTGAGATAAATTTGTTGAAGTGATTCAGAACAGTGTGTAGTCTTTCTCATCAAAGAATATTTTAAAATAGACCCCTGGATCTTGATGTATATGAGTAATTCTTTGCCGTTGTCCAGTCACCTAGCCTTAAGGTACTCTGTAAATAGACGGAGTTTTCCCCGGCTCATGTCGACAAGCAGCGTACTTTTGTTTGGAGGCGGGGGGGGCACTTTTAACTCAGCAGTTTCCTCACTCACGAGTACTGTTGTGTGTTTTGCAATTCTGGATTGGAGAGATTTATATGGTCTCAATTTTGCTGTTTGTTGGCTTCACCTATGCCTGGCTTCCTCTGGGTGCAATATACACTAGGGCACACCAGCTATGATGCGGATGGATTTAATCTTGATTTATGCACAAAGCAAGTTAGATAAACGTTTGTCCTTCTGTGAAGCCATCCTTTTATGCTATTCATTAATAGTTGATAGTGTACTCTTTGGGTTCGCATCATTTAGTGGCGTATTTCGTTGAAAATTATTTATTTAAAATTTATGACATTTTACAGAAACAATTATAACATGTTACAGAAACATTTATGACACGCTACAGAAACAATTGTGACATATTACAGAAACATTTCTTTCTGTTAGTATGGAATACTCAATGTACTTATGGACGGTGAATTTCATGGAAAACAGTTAAGAATTGTTCATAATGATACTACTATTTTGTGTGAATAAAATAGTTTGTAAAAAATACTGGAAATTATTTCATCTAATAATATGCACATTCCTGTGTGTACAGATAAATAAAAGGATCTGTAATTTAATAGGTCCTGATCTGACATCTCGACTTCAGTTACTTTCTCACCAACATTAGGTGGCTTCCTTTTGTGTTTTCTGCAGATATTTCCATGGCAACTGCTCTGAGAATATTTGTCTCCTGGTGCGGAGATTACATGAATTTAAGCGTGCTACTAGATTGGCATCTAGGTCCCACCCATTTACTGCTAGAATAGTTAAATGTAACCGCCACTTCTACTTCAACAGTTTCTTTCCTCGCACTTCCCGACAGTGAAACTCCTTTCCTCTTACTTGCTTCCCTGATAACTACAATCTTCAAAAAAATTAAATGCAACATCAATCGCCATCTGTCTTCTCAAACCCCGTTTATCTTTTGTTCTTTCCTCGAACCTCCTTATTCTCAGTCTTCTCTTTCAATCTGTAACCGCCTGCGTACTACTGGCATCTCCGCCATGCTTGGGATGAAAAATATATATATATATATATATATATATATATATATATATATATATATATATATATATATAATATTAGTGGTTAATACACACACACACACACACACATATATATATATATATATACATAAAAAAATTCCAAGAGGATAGAATCTAGGTAGAACTCAATGTCCAGGACAGAGTAAGAATATAATAAAAACGCTTAAACACTAATATTCCATGGTTATAATTTATTACATTGGAATCGTATCCAGGGGTAACAGATGAGAGAAGAACAGGACGGCCT